GCAGCCGAGCTGCTCCAGGCTGGGGTCCCCTGGCCGTCGCGGGAGGGGAGGGAGGGAAGGGCACGGCCCTGCTAGGGGACGGACCGTAGTCCTGGAGCTCAGGCTGCCCCCAAGGGGGGGTGGCGGGTGCGGCTGTTGTGGGGGTGGGGTGGCATAAACAATAGATTCGGCTCTGGCCTCTGCCAGTGTTTGTGGGGGGTTTGGGGAGACCTTCTTTGTTCTTCGACTCTGCTCCTACCCCTCGGGTTGTGGTGGTGGTGCCCGGGAGGAAGGAAGGGTGAGGAATCCCCTGGCTGCAGGGAGATACCGAGGTAGGGGGCAGAGTGGGCATGTTTGCTTTGCCTGGCGGGCGGGGAGGTGTTCTTTTGAAGGCTGATTTTATATTTCTCTCAATTGCGACAAATTTTTGTTTTCGTGTGGGAGCTAGTTGGGGCACGTCTGAGGTTAGAGTGTAAATAAGGTCTCCTCGTCACTCCCTTCGCCTTCCTTGTTTATCTAAAAATAAGATTGATCGGTTGATTTCTGTGTAGGAGGGGTAGGAAGGAAATATCTGAAAAGAGGGCTTTGCATTTCGTTGGAGCTTTAGAATGGGTGTCAAGGCGAAGGGGAGTTTGGAATATAATTGTAGAAGTCACAAAAGCTCCTTTCCTGCCCCAGTTAAATATTTTTTTAAAGAGTTATTTTTAAGTTTTTGAGTAACAAAGGGAAAAAATGGTTTTAACTCACTGCAGGTCTGGCTTTGCGGTGGGCCATAGTGCAGGAATTCTGTCTCCTGTTGCTCTTTTTTTTTCAGTTAGAGAAGGAACAAAAGGAAGTACAGTAATTGTTTTATATATTGTTTTCAAGCATGAAATGGTGATTCTTGTTTCCAGGTTTAGAGTTCTTAATAGACATCTGCCTAACCTGAAACAACTCTAGTACTTGGATGGAGCTAAAGTTTATTACTATTATCATTTCTTTAGCTTTTTCAGGCTTCTTTTTCCATCTCTCCCAATTGTGGAGTGCATGTGGGGGTGCAGAAGGTTGTCCCTCCAAGGATTTTTTGCTTAGTGATTTAAAAAATATCTATTTTTATTTGTTTCAGAGAGGAAGGGAGAGGGAGGGAGAGATGGAAACATCAATGATCAGAGAGAACCATCGATCGGCTTGATTGGCTGCCTCCAGCATGCCCCACACTGGGAATCTAGCCCTCAACCTGGGCATGCGCCCTGACAGGGAATCGAACTGTGACCTCCTGTTCATAGGTCGATGCTCAACCATTGAGCCACGCCGGCCAGGCCAGTGATTTTTATTCTGAATTTAATAACTGAGTGAACAGAAAATTTCTGTCTGGGAAATAAAGTAGCAAAGTCTCTTAAATGCCTTGGGCCTAGAGGTAGTGGTTATTTTCAAAGGACAACTTGACCATAATTTTGAGAAGAAATTGCTAGGTCAGAATGATTTTTAGAGGAAGGAAGAGGAATAGAGAAATAGAAACATCCGAAGAGAAAGAAACCTCTATCAGCTGCCTCCTGCACGCCTCCTACTGGTGATGGTGCTGCAACCGATGCATGTGTCCTGACCCAGAATCTATTCATTGATCTCTTGGTTCATGGGTTGATGCGCAACCAGTGAGCTACACTGGTGAGGCTGAGCCAGTGTAAATTTTACAAGCAAGAATGAGATTTCTTACAGGAGTTTTGGTGTTGTATTTAATCACAATCTTTTTTTTTTTAATCCTCCTCACCTGAGGGTATTTTTATTTTTTCCAGTGATTTAAAAAAAAAAATATGGAACTCTTCACAAATTTGCGTGCCATCCTTGCACAGGGGCCTTGCTAATCTTCTCTGTATTGTTCTAATTTTAGTATATGTGCTGCCAAAGTGAGCACTCCAGTGATTTTTAAAAATAATTCTTTATTGTTGAAAGTATTACATATGTCCCCCTTTTTCCCCTATTGACCCCCTCCGGCCCCAGTGATTTTTTTAGAGAGAGTGGAGAGGATGGAGGAGGTGGGGAGAGAGAGAAAGAGAGAAACATTGATGTGAGAGAGACACATCGATTGGTTGCTTCCCACACTTGCCCCAATGGGGCTGGGGATTGAGCCTGCAACCGAGGTACATGCCTTTGACTGGGAATTGAACTCGAGCCCTTGGGTCCGGTGGCTGATGCTCTAATCACTGAGCAAAACCGGCCAGGGCTTTTTTTTTTTTTCTTTAAAGGTGTACTTCTGTTTTTAGATGAGTGAAATCCTTTTCCTTCCTTTATTTTAGGTATCCCCTGAAGTATTGCCTTGAGGTTGGATTATGTTGAAAAGCTTCTGACCACTCTCTTTCATTACCAAAACCTTGTGCTTGAGGCCCAACGAATGAGTCCACCTCAGTGAACACGTCAGCTCTCTCTCAGATAGCCATAAAAGACCCTTCCAAGTTAATTTGGACCACATATTTGTCTGCACTTTATGGAGGATGAAACCACCAAACCAAATGAACATTGCTGCTGATACAGAAGCCTTGGAGGCAGAAAATTAAAAATTTGAACATTTGTGAGTGTGTGAAGAATTCTAATGGGACACTGAGTGTGTGTGTGTGTGTGTGTGTGTGTGTGTGTAAGTGTAAGGTGTTCAGAACCCTGTGGTATTTCTGTGTGGTCTTCATCCTCAAAGCCTTTGTTTTCACTGCTGGGGAAAGCCCAGTGGCTGTTTTATGGTGGTTGGTTTCCTTACCAACCTGAGTATGAGTGCTCAGACTTCCCCAGCACAGAAGGGCCTGAACCCAGGGCTGATGTGCCAGGAAAGTTACGCCTGCAGCGGGACTGACGAAGCTGTCTTCGAGTGTGATGAGTGCTGCAGCCTGCAGTGTCTCCGCTGCGAGGAGGAGCTCCATCGGCAGGAGCGCCTGAGAAACCACGAGCGGATAAGACTCAAACCTGGCCACGTCCCGTACTGTGACCCCTGCAAGGGCCCCAACGGGCACTCACCCGGTGTTAGGCAGAGGGCAGCTGTGCGGTGCCAGACCTGTAAAATCAACTTGTGCCTGGAGTGCCAGAAGAGGACTCATTCTGGGGGTAACAAAAGGAGACACCCCGTTACCGCCTACCATGTCCCTAAGGGCCAGGAGTCACTGGAGGAAGAAGAGATGGATGAGGAGACCAAGAGGAAGAAGATGACTGAGAAGGTTGTGAGCTTCCTCCTAGTAGATGAAAACGAAGAAATTCAGGTAAGCCCTTGGGGACTCGTGGTAGTGGAGCCGATCTGTTGTTGGAAGGTAGCTCTCAAAAGGAGAGTCTAGGGCAGTGATGGCGAACCTTTTGAGCTCGGCGCGTCAGCATTTTGAAAAACCCTAACTTAACTCTGGTGCCGTGTCACATATAGAAATTTTTTGATATTTGCAACCATAGTAAAACAAAGACTTATATTTTTGATATTTATTTTATATATTTAAATGCCATTTAACAAAGAAAAATCAACCAAAAAAATGAGTTCGCGTGTCACCTCTGACACGCGTGTCATAGGTTCGCCATCACTGGTCTAGGAGGAGCTCCCATTTTATCATTAAAAGGCAAGACCCCTAAAGCTTAAATTGCAAGGAGTCAGGTTTAGTTCCTTACCAAGTTGTGTGACTTTGGGCTGAATTTCTTTCTCTCTCTCTCTTTTTTCTTTTTGGACTGAATTTCTTTACTTCTCCGAGCCTCAGTTTTTCATCTATAAATTGGGAACATTGAGACTTCATTGGTTTGTTGTGAGGATGAAATGGCAGTTTTGTATAGCTTATTGCATAATAAGTGCTCAGTATATGATAGCTGTTATTATTATTAGGAAGAACTGGTTTAGAACAGTTTTCTGAATGAGAGCCTTTGGCACATTGTGAATAAATGTGAATGATGAGGGATTGTACCTGTGCAGGGAAAAGAACCACCGATAGTGAGTACCATGGGAGTGTTAGGCAATAAGTCATAAGCCTGCTCGCTCCATTTAGAGAAGCAGGTCTTTTTTTTTTTTTTAGTATGTTTTTATTGATTTCAGAGAGAGGAAGGAAGATGGGGAGAGGCATAGAAACACCAATGATAAGAGAGAATCAATGATTGATTGCCTCCTGCACGCCCCCTACTGGGGATTGAATCTGAAACCTTGGCATGTGCCCTGACTGGGAATCAAACCATGATTTCCTGATTGATGGGTCGATGCTCAACCACTGAGCCACACCAGCTGGTCTTTAAAAAGTGGCATTTGAGCCCTAGCTGGTGTTGCTCAGTGAATAGAGCGTTGGCCTGCGGACTGAAGGGTTCCGGGTTCGATTCCAGTCAAGGGCCCATTCCCAGGTTGCAGGCTCAATCCCCAGTGGGGGGTGTGCAGGAGGCAGCCAATCAATGATTTTCATCATCGATGTTTCTCCCTCTCTCTCCCTTCCTCTCTGAAATTTTTAAAAAAATATTTTTTTTAAAAAGTGGCATTTGAGCCCTGGCTTGTGTGGCTCAGTTGGAGTGTTGTCTGTGCACTGAAGGTTGTGGGTTCAATTCCTGGTCATATACCTAGGTTGTGGTTCAGAGTATGGGAGGCAACCAGTCCATGTGTGTCTGATATTTCTTTATCTCTACCATCTCTCTCTCTCTCTCTCTCTCTCTCTATCTCTATCTCTATCTCTATCTCTATCTATATCTCTATCTTTCTCTCTACCCTCTCTCTCTCCCTCCCTCCTCCCTCTCTGAATTCAATTTAAAAAAGTTTTTTTAAGTGGCATTTGATAAGGGTAGTATTCTCTCCAGATGGGCTTTTCTTATATTTTCGTGTATAGGCTTCTGATCAGTAAAAGCCAGTGAGGCACCTGGGATTACAGAAGGACTGAAGAACATTTGATTTGATTCTGAGTTGGGGAGAGGGTAGTGTATGACCACTAGGGGCGATTGGGGAAGGGGTGGTATAATGGTATACTTTCCAGAGAAGGTAGTATACGTAAGGTCTGTGCTTTCGAGTGAAGACTGCTTGATTCATATCCTGGCTATAACACCTACTGGCTATATAACCATGGCAAGTTATAAGCTCTGTGCCTTCTACTTCATAGTAGTAGTTGAGAGGATTCAAAGATATTAGGAATGGGAAGGATTTGTCATAAGGCCTGGCACCTAGTGTCCACTACCAGTCTGTTGCAGTAGTTTTTTTTTTTAAATCTTTTTTGTTGAAAGTATTACATAGGTTCTCTTTTTCCCCCAATTAACCTCTTCCAGCTTGCTCTTGTCCTCCTCCCAGTCCCCTCTTTTTTTAAAAATATATATTTTTATTGATTTCAGAGAGAAAGGAAGAGGGAGAGAGAGAGAGAAACATCAATGATGAGAGAGAATCATTGATGGGCTGCCTCCCGCTCAGCCCCAACCAGGGCCAGGATGGAGCCTGCAACCAAGGTACGTGTCCTTAATAAGGACCCTTCAGTCCGAGGGCTGACACTCTTATCCACTGAAACCAAATTGGCTAGGGCTCTTGGGTTTCTTTCATAAGAGACCCATATAATTCCACTCATGAGGCTTTATGCTAATGACCTAATCACCTCCAAAGGCCCCATCTCCTAATACCATCATATTGGGGGTTAGATTTCAACATGTGAATTTTGGAGGGGATACAAACATTCCGTCTGTAGCATTGTATTTTATAGATGAGGACACTGAAGCACAGAGAGAGGAAGTAACTTGCCAAGATCAAGTTACAGTAAGTGGCAGAGGATTTGAACACAGGTATCTGGCTCTAAGATCCTTGCTTTGTGAGACTTCTGCTATCTCTGACCAAATCATTTAAACTTTCTAATTAAGCTTTATAAGGTCAAAAGCATCAGATCATCAGTTCCTCATGGCTGCTGTAAGAATCAAATGAAACAGCTCTATACAAATGTAAGACTTGTCATTGCAGAACTCCTTCCTCATAGCAATAAATATTCTATGAAAGAAAAAAAAAAAAAAAAAGAGAAAAGGGGAAAAAAAGAGAAAAAGAAAAAAAAAAAAAAAAAAAAAAAGAGTGCAAAAAATGAAATTGGGAAAAGGGGGGGGGGAGTAAGAGAGAAAAGAAAGAGAATGAAATAGGAGAGGGGAAGAAACTATATGGGGAGAAAACTCCAATAGAACAGCCACTAATCCCAACA